ACGAGGAACACAGAATCCAGACACTGACAAGGCAAGCTTGGTATTGTTTTCCATTTGCAGAAAGTACCAACTAGTGACGGATTCTACGGGCAGCTGGTTTTCGTCCTTCTCCCGATCAAAGTTGAATTTTCGTTTTTCCGAGGCTTGTAGTAGGGCTTAATCCTTCTCCGATAGGAATTTTATAAGGTCGATACCGAAAACTGGCGTGATGTCGTTCTGGCAGATTTCATAATCTGATATAAAAAAGAATCTAAAAATCCAATAACAATAACAATAAAAATAGTTTACTTACCATTTGGAATGCCAATTTCACATGAGTCTCCACGAGGGTCTCTAGCAGCGAATAATTTTGGAATATCTAACTAATAACAGTTCAGTTTCTGGTATCCCACAAAAGAACATGACTCTTGTTGTAACTTCTGACCTGGATTTCATGTTTACAGCGGCCAGACTAGTGGAAAGGGCGGCATATAAGATTCCAGTGCAGCCTGTAAAAACATCGCTGAGGAATATTTTTGACAGTTGAACAACTTTTGTTTTAAAAATATGGACTTTTAAAATCAAGAGTCAGAAGTAAAAAATCCAACTTTTATTGTGAATATTTTTGCTGTTGAAAATAAGAATTTTGGGAAAATTTTAAAATGAAAATGCATTATTTTTATTAATACAATTTTCCTTGTTTGTGTGTAAGATATATTCATTTCATTTCATGGCTCCATCAATGCTGCATCGTAAATATGATGGTAAACAGAAGTAAATTGCTCAATTACTCAAAATAAAGATGATTTGTCATCTTGTTATCACTTTGAAGACCATCTAGCACCATTTTATAGTATGGTGCGTGTTGAGTAAATCAAGTTCCGGTGCGTTTTCCGTCGAAAATTGTGAGTATTAATATGGTTGCTTAAAAAAAGCCAAAATGAACATTTATTGAATATTGGCGTCCTAAACAACCAATTCTCTATTACCACCAGCATGATACAACCTTTCCTAAGTAAATGCACTTAATTTCCACTTTCATCTTAGTGAAAATCGCACGTATTTACCATTTTTCTGAAAAATGCAGCTGCGCAGGAGGTAACCTCTCCCTGTGGGTGCAAACTTGTTATGCATAATTTGCCATGAAAACATCTCCGATCCATACCGAAATAATAACAAATAGTTTTCAAACACGTTTTCTTACACGATTCAAGCAAAAGTTACCACGGGAAATTATTAATTTTTCTTTATGGACCGATTTGCCCCAAAAAGCGTCTGTTTTACTTGGAAAATTTGGAAACTATCCTCCTTCTAGTAGTTCTCACTTCGAAATGTAGGTGGCGAAAGCTTGGAAAAGTTTCACTGCAAGACGCCAATTGAACATTTGTTTCTAGTCGCCGACTGAGATTCTAGAATGCTGCGCACTTGTTCAACAGAAAAAGAAAGTTTGAAGTTGATATTGTGACGCCCTGCTTCAGATAGCTGCTTCAATCTCCTGCAGTGATGGGGACTCGTAGTTGACGCGAGTGATGCTAGTGATGGCTGGTTGGTCGTCGAAACTTGAATAAGTTGTTCGAAGTGCCAAACCAACGTTTCAGCTGGTCAGTGGGGTCGGTAAGCAACTGTCCAGTCGCACCTTTCACTGGCATTTTTTGATTCATCCTTGCTCAACTAAGGCCTCGCCCACGCTCTGTTAGCGAAAGAGCTAAAAATCTAGCTAATTAAGTCTTTCAAAAATCCACCCACGCTCACTTGTCCCACAGACAAACAGACATAACTCTCGCAAGTTGTTCATCGAACAAGCATTTAACGATCAATTTAAAAGTATCGTAGTTGGTAGTACCGCCACCTGTGGCGCGCATAGTCAATTCCCTTGCGTTTGACGTTTACACACTACCGCCATCTGTTCAGCGTACTACCCACCACAGTGTATTCAACAGATGGCGGTAATGTTTTTGCGACGATGTTTTACAGTGAGAAATATTCAATGTGTTATGTCTGTTTGTCTGTGCTTGTCCTATCTGCAAAAGCGTTTGATTCCCTTTTCTAGAGCCGAATATCGTTGACGGGCTTCGTTCTTGGCGCCTCTTGTTCTCGTCCGCTCTATCGCGAATTTTGCAACTCAACGCTAATCAATTCTTCCGCCAATTTCACCCAGTCTTTTCTCACTTGATGGCCGTCCACTGTTCGTCTACGTTGCCACCAAATATTATAAATTAACCATATACCTAGTTAATTTATAATATTTGCTGCCACCTTCCGGAACATCCGCTGCGCGGGTCTCAAGTTCTTCGACGAGCAATCTTTTCACAGCTGGATCTTCTAGTCGGCGTGTGTTGAATCGCTGTCTAAACCTCTCCTCCCACCGCATAGGTGGATCTCGCTGATTGAAAGGTAATGGTCAGACGCGATGTTGGTGCTGCGTTTATTGCGGATATCAAGAAGGCTCTGATAGCAATAGCAGCAGTAGATGCCCCCAACGACCACACAAAATGCTCTCCAGAGTTGTAATTTTGTAACCAAACTTGGAAGCAGGGGTGGAAGTGATTTTGATTGATTCTCTTCATCAACTTTCTCTTTGAAAAAAAATACTTCAAATTTGGTACGCCTACAAATCAATACCGGAAAGAGTTAAGATAATAGATGATCGATCAATTAGAAGAACTAAATTTCCTTCACATTTGTTCCGTGCCCTAGCGGTCCTACGTCAAGCTCCCGTTCGTGCCCCTAGACACAGATCCTACTTTTTTTTCTTCTAAACACATTTCTTCAAAGCAGTAAAGACATAATCATTATCAAAATGATATTTTTTCAATCTCATACGCTCTCAATATCATGCGTGATATTGGTGCAGAATATCATGCTTGATATTGATTTTACAAACTCCTTTGATATTGCGAGACTATTCACAACGTGTAAAGTTGAAACTGAGAGTTGAATCGTGGCATAAATGATTCGGTTGCACCTCGGTTTCTTAGAAAGAGAAGGTACAACAATACTATCTTTTTTTTCTCTTCACCGATAGCAGACATGAAGCGAATGCTGCCACCCGTTATGGCAGTTTAAAATCATGAAACTCAATCTCACCATAGTTTGGTGAGATTTGCAGCTGGCTAGTTTTGTTAGCTTGATATTGAGAGCTGCGATATCACAGGTTGCAATATTAACCGCAGTTGTTTGCTCGTTGATTTTTTTGTTGATCTTGATCTTTGGTGAAATTTGATTTTTTGGTATTTTCCGAACACTGTTTCTAAGTCATCATGGCAAGAAGTTGGACGCAAAACCTGGCTTTTAGAGTTCAAATATTTCTCATGATGAAATAGAAAAAAATATTTTAGCATGCAAATTGTCTCAGGAATCTAAAAGGAAAAAAAAAAAACAATTTTACTTAGATTAATAATAATAATAAAGCTATTTAGCAACCTCCATTATAACGCAGCAACCGCACCGGAGGTTGCTATTCAAGTGCGGTAAATAACAATCTGCCTCTCGGTGAACAGTGGGTTATCAAATTTGGTAACGCGATAGCGACCGACCCAAGCGTTGCTATTTGTGAAATGTCATTTTTGTTTTTCATTTGAAAATTGTTTAAAATCACTTGCAATGATGATGTATGAATTAGTTAGAATCTGCGACCAAAGCAAAGCGGTAAATGTAGTCAATTTGTAAAAAATCTAGAGAACCGCGATTTTTTGAAACAACTCATTGTAATGCTGCATGGACGAATTTGGATTTGAGACCAGGATATGCACTTTGTTGACTACAGGACTGTCCTCCGGAACATCACTGGTACTTTGTATGGGAGCGAGCTGTTAATTTGTTAGTTTTGTGTCAAACAGTGAAGTTGATTTGCACCCCAGTATCGTCCACAAAAAAGTAGTCCTATTTGTCATTTTGTTGACATGCTAACAATTTATGTATCTTTTAGCAGCGCCATCTGCTTGGCCTCATCGAAATGCTTTCTGTTGCTTCTACAATCGAAAATCTGTGGCAAATCATTCACTGGCACGTATTTAATGTTGCCTTCACTGCCTTTTCATCTGCGTAATGGAGAATTAATTCAACACTGTTGATAGATAATGCATAAACCCTCCGACTTGAATTTAATGAAAAGCGCTTTTACCCCCGAAATCAGGTAACTTGCTTCCATCTCAGCAGTATTCGCAAACAGCATCTTGGCGAAACTGGCAATTGGGTTCTTTAGTTTTGAAAAATGTATTGTTTTTTATACATCATCCGAAAGAGCTTCGTTTTCTGAGCACAGCGATATTTTTTTCGAACCCACATACATTCACCTTGATTTTTAAATCAAGATTTAAAGCAAAATAATAACTTCACTGTTTGACACTAAACTAACAAACTGACAGCTCGCTCCCATACAAAGTGACACCGAGGGGCGCTAATAAGGTGATTTTTGCTAATGTAATTGTAATGTAAAACTTATTTAAAATAGTTCCAATGTACCAAAATTGATGAAATCTTGGGTTTGGGTTCCATTCCTAATGCAGATTACGAATATGCATTTACCTCAATACCCTTAAAAAACCCAATTCTTGAACTTCCATTTTCGAAGTCAAAACAAACGATGTGCTTGACTTCAATTCCAGGCATCATCACAATTTATTTGCTTCATCGACCAACCGAGCTGTAGGCAATGAACAAAGCACTCGGGACAATAGGTTTATTAAAGTTGACTTATCTTGGTTATCTTGAAAATAATCGTAATGATGCAGATTTCAAAATTTTGCGCGATGATTTATGGGCAACATCTTTAAATTCTTCTATTTCTGAAACAAAGCTTTTATTAATTTTTTCGATGATTCTATAGGTGATGAAAAGTCAAAATCGCAGACTTCATGCCTCTCGGGGTAATCAATGGTACTTTTTGTTTGTGCGTCAAAAAGGCCTACACCCCTGACCTCACGTGTGACTTTAAAATATCGTCTCATCTAGCTTTGTTAGCTTCGATGTTTATCCTTCCCGTCTACATCTAATATGCGTATTATTTACTTTTCTTGCAGACATATATGATCAAATCTTGAATACAAACGACTACAAACCACCCAAGGAAAGTATCATCGCTTGCCTCTATGGACGAACTGAGTGCTGTTTGGAGCTCAAAGAATACGACATTGTCGCTGAAGATTGCCACCAGCTTTTGAAACTGTTGAACAGCTCGGAAACAAGCGCCAATCGTGTTACTGATTCTGCGAGTCCAGTTCCATCGTCAGCATCGTCGTCTTCTTCGACTTCGTCCAACTCTTCAACGCAAAACAACGCAACTGGAACAACAGAATCCAAAGTCAGAAAACGACTGATCCATTCTTTGTTCAAACAGCAAAAATTTGTCGAGGCAGAGATCATCCTACAGGAATGGTCCACTATCCATAATTACCATCAAGACATCAATCGATACCTGGAACGGCTGAAATCTGTGCTGAAAATGGCGTCGGCTAGCTCATCACCTACGCCAGCCTCAAGTGGTGTAGAACAAGTAGCACCGTCCACTGCACCTGCGACAACAACCGAAGCATCGTCCCCAGCATCATCTGAATCCTCTGTTGGTTCTTCCACCACACCCACGTCAACAATTTCCTCACTTTCATCTATCAATGATGAATATGAGCAGATTGAAACCAAACTGGAAAATCTCATCATCAACAATCTCCCACCTGATCGTTACACCAAACAGTTGAATCAAATCGAAAGCAATTTGCGGGCAACATTAGAAAATCACCCCCAACCAAACGGCGATAACAACGGTGACGATAGCAGTGAGTCAAATAAGTCAAGGGAGATTCGATCATGTGAGAAAGAATTAGACTCCAACGGCAGCAGCAATGATACAACTGATAAAGATTCCAGCATCAACGGTAATGAGGATAGCAGCAATGATGTCCAAATCAACAAAAGTGACAATGAAGATGTGACAAAGGAATCAGTGCTGGGCGAAGACTCGACTTCAACAACGACAGTCACAACCAGTACTGCGATCACCTTATCCAGGGCGTCTCCTTCGAACTCAACAACGAGCAGCTCAAGTTCCGGTGTGAATAATTTCCAAAAGCAGCTCGATAAGATTACCAACATCAGTTGCGTCTACTGCACATTGACATTTGTGGATCGCTCGGAATTGAGAGCACATTGTCAGACGGAAAGCCATCAGAACATTATCATGTCGGATGAAGGTAAGGAAGATTTATTGGGTTGATATTTTTATCGCATACTAATGATCATTTTCCAACAGGTCGTGATTGGAAATGGCGTCCTCCTCCACGTGGTTTTACGACGGAATCATACACGTTGTGTGAGAACTATCTGGACAACCAAGCGTGCCACTATGGCAATCAATGTGTTGAAGCACACGGAATCGACGAGCTGAACGAGTGGAAAGATCGTTTTGAATATCGCACGAAGAAACTGCAGCGGGCGCGAGATAAGGAGTTGTACGGGAAGAGCTACACCGAACAATTGCTAGAACGTTGGGTGCAGGCACCCAGTCCCGACAAAATAATGAAGGAAAGGGTAGAAGGCGTAGAGGAGTCTTGCTCGCAGGATCTAGTGACAACGGTAAGCTCAAAAGTGAGCAAACGGGAATGGACATTTGTGCTAAAGACGCGAAGGTTGCTAAAAGCAGTAGCTCTGCTCCAGGATGCACATCGTAACCATTTCATCATAAAGCAAATTTTCCCCGGTGAACCTAGAAGTGGAAGCGTTGGTAAAAAGATTAGCCCAACAACGACAGGGAATAGAGTGATAGAAGCTGAACTCATGTCCGATCAGGAATGGGTTGCACCTACGGAACAGAAGCATGGCGAGCAAACGAGTGAAGCAGGTCCTATGTTGGAGCATAGAATAAAGGTTATCTTCAATACCGACATCTACGGAACTTTCCGGCAAGCGGTGGTGTTCGATTTTGGAAATGAACCAGTGCTTGTGAAGCACATGTGTGTTGACGTTGTTCCCGTCACCGAGGTAGATAAGATTCAAGAAATTCGCAAGGATATTGTAATGTCTACTTCAGAACGATGGGACGAAACCAATTCGGAGATGATCGAGTTTACGACGACCATTATTCCTCATATGCAGACACCTGCCTATGCCGCCGATGCGGAACGAGAAAAAGATTTGCTAGCGAGATATCCTTTACCAAAGGCTTCATCGTTTGTTTTAACGCAATCTACCATCACAGAGAAAAAGGTGACCAAGAACAACTATCGGAATCGTATTCATGAGCTTTTGTACGTGGAAGAAATCGCACGGTATGAACAAATAGCTCGTTACAACCTAACGACAAGATTGACGATCGCCACTAACTATCTGCTGACACCAAGCGGAATGGCAACTAGCACAGCCAAGTATTCACACTCGGGTGAACTTTTCGCTCTAATGAAACTTGGAAAAGATGTTTCAGAGGATACTTCCGCCGGTCGCTTGATCCTGAACAATTGCCAAGCTGTACTGATTGCTTCTAAGGATCCCATTCCCTCAGGGGAAAAGCGTAAAGTTTATGAAGCCGTTATTGAGGATAAAGGAAAGAACATGATATATCTCAAAGTATCGGCAAAAGCTGTCGGAGGTCTAGGATTAAAGGCAGAGACCGAGTTTATCGCGGATATTCAGTTTCAGCCGAACCGATTGACGTATTGTGAGTGGCATCACGCCATCGATAAAATCGCTGACTTTAGAATTATTTTTCCCGATATCTACCTTGAGCCGAGCATTCCTTGGACGCCCCAGCGGCAGTGGGATGCCTCGTTGGATCCTAAGCTGAATTCAAAACAAAAGGAAGCCGTCTTATCGATAACAACACCGATCAACATTGCCTTACCTCCGATCTTGCTGATCGGACCTTTCGGTACAGGCAAGACTTACACGTTGGCACAGGCCATTAAACAATTGCTACTGCAGCCGGAGTCTAAAATCCTCATCTGTACACACTCCAACTCGGCGGCTGATTTGTACATCAAGGACTATCTTCATCCGTGGGTGGAGGAAGGCATGGAGGAAGCCAAGCCGTTGCGTGTCTACTACCACAAGCGATGGGTTGCCACGGTCAACAGTATTGTGCAAAAGGTGAGTTTTGGCATGATTGATTTGATCTGATTACACCGTATAATTTCTAGCATGAAGTAGGGTAGCGCAGGGCTAATGCAGGGCACAGGGGTTTTCTCCTGCAAATTAATCGATAACCCATCCAAAAGATACTCTAAGGCGTGATGTGTCATGTTGCCTACGTTAGGCGGAAAATACATAAGGCAAAATTAACGGAAGACAAAATCACATAAGGCTCATTTAAATTAGGCTGACTTTAGAACCAGCAGAGCCAACGGCCGGCCGTGTTGCGTTTTGTGTGTCCGCCTTTTGATATAATCCCGTTAGGGTCGGGTTTTAGCAAACTATATTTGTGAAGGGCGAGCCTTAGAATATGAATCTAAGTGGTGCTCTATTCTGAAGTCTGTGAGAGGGAAATGAAACATCGTGTGTCATCAACATACACAAAGAAGAATACTTTGGACACTTCATTAAAAAGCTTTATTAACCTAACCAAACCTTAACAACAATTGTAGAACAACAACTTTTGCGCAAAACTCCAAGACTTTCAAAATAGTTTTCTGTGCAAAATTTTACAAAAAAATAAATAAACAAAAAGTTTAAAAATTTGACCAAAAGTTGTTGTTCTGTCATTTTAGTTAATTTTTAAGTGTTTCACAGAAGCTAGCATTTTGTATAAATGTATTAATGATAAGTTTTTTTTTACCCAAAATTACTTGAAATTTTTACCGTGTATATTTTTCCTACAGCTTTATCTCAAAGGTCATTTTGATTGTAAGTGACGTTTTCGAGTTATGATTTGTTGAAAAGTATCGAATACGCCATTGTGAAGTTTTTTACAAGATTCCAAATGGCTGAATTTTAGCTCAAATGTGAATTATCGATCATAGCAAACAATTATGCAAAGTCTCATGGAAATCGAAGAAGGTCGAAGGTGAAATTCATTTTTGTTTTTGCTATTTGGCCTGGAAATGCTCTAAATGTCAAAGCACTGGCATAGACCAGTTACAGTCCAAATAGAATAAAAAATTGACTTGAACTTCACCAGTTTGCATTGAACTTTACATAATTGTGTTATGAGCGATCATTCACATTTTTGCAAAAAATCGACAATTTTGGACGTTGTAATTTTTTTTCAAATTGGCGTCTTGACCTTTATTGATAAATTGTAGCACGAAAACATCACTTCTGAGTCAAAGTTGTTTTGAAAAGTAATGTCTTTCTTGCAAAAAATATACACGGTGATTTCTTTTAGTAATTTTAAACAAAAATTCAAAAAATAATTTCAAAGCTAAAATATTTTAAATAGTCTTCAATATTTATAATTTTTTTTTTTAATATAGCTCATGACAAATGCAAACTCACACTCAGAATAATTTTCACGTCAATGCTACGTGAAAACATACGTAGATTTTTTCCATCGTACTTTTCACATAAGATCTACGTGATTTTTACGTAGGGGCACTCATTTCATGAAACTTAACCGTTATATGATTATTACATAGAAGTTACGTGATTTGGTCGGTGACATTCATCGGAGGATTCTAGTATCAATATTTTGACACTGTTTATATAAATATTTCCCTAATACTCAGATAAAATTTTTACTGTTTTAATAGTAATAATAGTAATATTCCTTTAATTTATTAAAATTTACTGAATAAACCACATCAGCATTTTTTATATTCGATACGCAGCACAAATCTGAACGATCATGGAGATGGGCCTAGATGTTTTTTCCCTTGATGAAGAAACTGCTGGACAGACTTCATTCTGTTGAGTACGATGAAACAGTCAGTTTGTTTTTGTCAAAGAGAAACAAATAATCAATAATTTATACTTACATCTTGCCACTTTCTTTAAAAAATACCGAACAAAAGCCCATTATTATACTGTCATGACTTCCCTAATAAAAATTGTATGGTTAATTTGCTTAACGACGTGTTCTGGGTATCATCCAAACCATTTGTGGAATAGTTCAATGATTTGGGTTATCGTTCGTTTATGATTATTTTTTATTAGGGTTGCACCGCTCTGAGTGTACGTACAACGCTTTTGTTTACATGTGGACATCTCATAAGCTTTACGTGAAACGCACATAGACTCATTGTTATGTGAAAATCACGTACATTACATTGATTATGTAGGTGTGTTAAACAGGAACTCCCTGTGAAATTCAAGGGACATCACGTACACTCTACGTGAGCAACGTAAAACTGAGAGGAGAGGAAAAAGTGAGAACTTACGTGATTTTTCACGTAACATCAACGTGTAGATTATTTTGAGTGCAAGTCTCGCGTAACATTTGAAAATCTAGCGGCGCCGGTGGTGCAGTGGTAAGCGTGATTGCTTTTCACCCAAAAGGCCTGGGTTCAATCCCAGTCGGCGCCACCGGGATTTTCTGAGGCATAAAATCTATGATCACACCTTCCTTCGCAAGGGAAGTAAAGCCGTTGGTCCCCGGTCCATGAGTTGATGGGTTGAAAGGTAGGGTCCAGGTGTCGGTAGCATTGGTACTCAATGCGGAAAACAAATACATTTGAAAACGGCCAAAAGCTTTTATAACAATTTGTATGTTGTAACAAAAGTAACAACATATATTTCCATAGAATTCTGGATAATATGAAATATGTAACTACGTCCATACACGAAGGAGTTACTGTGTGTTAAACGTCAGGATGATCAATTTCATTGTTAAACTTGTTTGAAAATATGGTTTTATAAAATTCCTACCCACGGATCACAGCACAATTAACATAACCTTTGTTTCATCATTCCGCAGTATTGTCTGATCGACCTGAACATCAATGTGCGTAACTTTCGCCGCCCATCGGTGGAGGATATTCTGAAGCATCGGATCGTAGTTGTAACACTGAACATCTCGATGGAGCTGGCATCGCTCGATCTGCCAAAAGGGCATTTTACTCACATCTTCCTCGATGAAGCTGCGCAAGCAATGGAATGTGAAGCGATCATGCCGCTGGCGCTTGCCACAGAAAAAACTCGCATCGTTCTTGCCGGTGATCACATGCAGATGTCCCCGGAGCTGTTCTCCAACTTTGCCAAAGAGCGAAAGTTGCACATTTCTCTGCTGGAACGACTGTACGACCATTATCCAAATGATTTTCCGTGCAAAATTTTGCTATGCGAAAACTATCGGGCGCACGAAGCAATTATCAAGTTCACATCGGAACTGTTCTACGAGCAAAAGTTGATCGCATCGGGCAAGCAACCACGCCATGAAAAGTTCTATCCGCTGACATTTTTCACGACGAGAGGTGAAGATGTACAGGATAAGAATTCAACGGCTTTTTATAATAATTCAGAGGTCTATGAAGTGGTCGAAAGGGTTTGTGAATTGCGCAAAAAATGGCCGAGCTCGTGGGGAAAAATCAACGATCAAAGCATAGGTATAATGACCCCTTATGCTGATCAGGTTTTCAGAATTCGGTCGGAGTTGAGAAAGCGACGCATGGGAGGTATAAGCGTGGAACGTGTGTTGAACGTTCAGGGAAAGCAGTTCCGTGCAATATTCCTGTCTACAGTAAGAACTAGAAGGACCTGTACGACTAATACCAGCGAAAGTAGTAGTTCATCTGAAGATGTTGACTATGGGTTCTTGAGCAATTCGAAGCTGTTGAATACGGCTATTACTCGGGCACAGAGCCTGGTGGCAGTGGTAGGAGATCCCGTTGCATTATGCTCCATTGGACGATGCAGAAAAGTTTGGGAACGGTTCATAGAGATATGCTATCAAAACAAGAGTTTGTTCGGGATTACTTGGTCCTTGTTGAGATCACAGCTAGACGGAGTAGAATTGAAGAAAACGTATGTACTGAATCCATTAGCACCTGAATTTATACCTCGGGCGCTGCAAGCTGAGGCATATCTTCGAGAGCAAGCAGCTAACGTCACCGGGCAGTTTCACCAACAACCGTCACATCACGTTCAGCATCCCAGTAACTATCATCATCAAGTGAACCAGAACTTTTCAAGTGGGCATAGTGGTGCTACTCCAAGCAGTAGTATGGTGCGACAGATTGTTCCGCAACAACCAATGCAACAGCCGCAACCTCCGTTCATCGGTCATGGACCAGCTGCTCACGCAGCACATCCACCTATTCCACCTCAAACACAGCAACAGTTTCCTTATCAAAATCCTATGTTCTTTTACCAACAACAACAACAACAACAGCAGCAGCAACAACAACAACAACAACAACAACCACCACCACCACCACCACAGCAACAGCCAATACGTGGACCACCACCTCATCCCAATGCCCTCGGGCCGCCAGTTCCCCCAAATATTCCTCAAGGGCCAGCTGCATTTCAGCCAAACAGTGCAGCAAATCTATGGAGTGCCCCTGGAACAGCTGGCCATTTTCCGATGGTACCTTCACCCGGTGGGCGCAACACTCCACCCGGTTGGCGTCTGCCACAGAAAAATCCTGCTCAACCAATTCGTCCGCAGTTAGCTCAACATCAGCACATGCAATTGACAGCAAGTGGAAGACCTCTTATTCAACCGCCTCTGAGAAGTCCTGTATCACAACAGCAACCAATACCTGCTGTTCCACAGATGCCTTACCTCCAGCAACCACAAAACAAAACCCTGCAAAACTTTGCTCCATTTGCCCATCATCAGCCTCATCCTCCGACCCTAGGGCACCATCAGCAGCAACAGCAGCAGCCACCTCAACAGCAACCACCACAACAACAACAACAACAACAACAACCGCATCAACTTCACCACATTCGTCAAATCCTTGGAGGTCCCATAAGTCCTAGTTCCTACCAACAACAACAGCAACAACAACAGCAGCAGCAATCACATCAATCATCTCTTTTCACTCAGCAAGATCCATATCTGTCGAATCTATCCAATGACCTGATGGCAACAATTACAGCAAGGGCCTCCCAAATGCAAATACCGCCCACACATCCTCAGCAGACGATGCTACATCAGCAGAATCAGAAAATGAATGCACTTCGGTTGGATGACCGTCACGCGATCGATAAGGATATTCAATTCCTTCAAAATGTACATTTCCCAGAAAAGTATGGACAAACATCTCAAACCTTGCAGCAGCAACAACAACAACAACAGCAACAACAACAGCAACAGCAGCAGCAGCAGCAACAGCAGCAGCAACAACAGCAGCAGCAACATCAACAACAACAACATCAACAGCAACATCAGCCTCATTCCAATACAGCTGCCAGTACAGATTTTAATCACTTACTGCCGCCGAATATGAGTTTCCTGGATGTTGCTCTGCAGACGAAAGAGTTCCAGTACCTTTGGTTCATCAAGCTTGTCGAAACTCAAGGTCTCGAAGCTGCCAACAAGTTCACCGATATCCTGCGGCAGGTTCCAACCCTGGCATCTACTACAGCTCATCACCAGCAAACACAAAAGAAGCTTAATGCGTTGGTACCATCCCAAGCGGATCTGTTCCTAGACAACTTGTTAAATCCGAACAAGGACGTGCTGACACCGACTAACAACCAGCAACCTGCAATTCTGCATCAATCCCAAAACACCTCCATTTCCAATGGGAATGCTCTTATGGGAGGACAGGGCAGTGGCAAAAACTTGCTCGAGAACGTTGACCTGTTTGGAAACCTTTCGTCGCCGCTCCCGAGTGAACTTCCCTTAATCGGATCGAATTCTTCTGCATCCTCGCAACAATCGGTACCGCTGTATCGTCGTCAGGCTGGTCAAAATTATCAGAACAGTACAGCTTCTTCGTCTAACGCTCAGTCAATAGCGTCCTCTACATCGGATCTGTTGGATAACCATCTACAGCAGACTCTTTTCGAGGCACTGGATAATAAACTACATCCGAACAATGGTGGGATGATGTTTGGAGGCCAGAATCAATCACAGTACGGTACCGGTGATCAAACGAATGGATTTCAAGGATTCCCTTCGGTACACAATATAGCCGCAGGACTAATGCAGCAGCAGCACAATCTAAACAGCCGTGAATTTTGGCATCAATTGCAACAGCAACAGCAGCACCATTTGCACGAGAATCGCAGTTCTTCGGTAAACAGCACGGTCGAAGAGCTGCTAAACCGTCAAAATCAAACATATGCTAGCGTGCTTAGTCAGGCTGGCAACAAGCAGCACTCAGGTGGATCGAAAGACGGTAACGGTGGAAGCGATGGCGGCGCCGGATCAGGTAATGGCGGTGTTCCATTTGCCGCACTGAGAGACTTGGGTCGGAAGAGCAATGGTTTTTATAACTACTTTCAGTAGGCTAACCGCGCGCGGATGAAGGATGAATGGACGAGGTAAGTGATATTTTCGGCGAGAGGGTTATGGTAGCGATTTAATGATTCTCTATTAAACATTAACTAGACGATTTAGTGAAGCGACGTGGTGATAGGCGAAGGAGTAATGTAGAAAAACACAACAATGATTATTGAAATGGGAGGTAATCATCAAAATCAAGACTGGAGTAAAAACCAGACAAGTCTGGTAGTATTGGATTACAAATTTCACTTAGTTTTATCATTTTGAGTTAGGATTAAATTACTAAGTAAGCAAAAAATTTAAACTTGTATACTACTGAGCAATTGCATAATTCATTCGGTTGAACTAGAACAAACAATTTTGTGAAACTTAAAAGTGATTGTCGTAAACATGAACTCCATCGAATGGGTGATTTGTTTTTTTGGATTCTACCCACGCGATGTGTAATAAACATTGCAAATTTTCTTACTTGGCATCTTGTTTATGATGATTTCCTCTAAGTTTCGACTTTTTACAGCGTAACTTTGATCAAAAAAACGGTAAAGTGAAGCAGTAAACGATGAGAGGATCAGAGGACAATTCTTGAATTAGAAAACATATAGAATTGCAAGTTGATAAAGAAAACGTAGAAAAAACTGTTACAAAAAAAATGAAAAAGCAAAACAAAAACCCAAAAAGTTTCGTCTACTTATATTTACATATACACTTATATAACACATTACACTTAATAATTTATAAAAATGCAAAAAAAAAAGATGATAAAATCAACAAAAATCTAATAAACTTATATTGTAATGAAAAAATAAAGATTATTCTATTCTAACACCATTTTTGGTTTCGATATTTAGCAACGCTTTTGTTTGGATTATTTTCTTTTTTTCTATTTTCTATTAGTCAGAAAACAATAAAAGTGTTTGTGTTGTTCCAAATTTCAATTTGTCCGCCATACACACATATGGAAAGCCAAGGGCTTTAGCAATAATGTGATACTTTTGCAATACCTAAAACAATTCAAGCTCTCACACACACGCACATAAATCATCGGTAATAATAATAAACTCGCTGCAATGGACCTGTACCACCAACATTTCAATAGGGTGGAAGTCCTTTTGTAAATAACCGCCGATTCCTCGCGAATGCTTCATACCAGCTGGAAGAAGAAGCATTTCCCTAACCTTTGGTGTGGTTAGACTGCGTGCATGCATTTTCATTTGCTATAAATCAGCGGCTAAGGACAAGATTGATAGAATTCACAAATGGCCGCTATCATGGTTGATTTACAAAGTAAATCAGTCATGATAACGGCCATTTTTGAATTTATCAACCTTGTCCTTAAGGTCATTGTTTGCAAACGCAGTTTTGCCTATATTGAAATGTTGATGAAGATTTTGTTTTAATTTTATCCTGCAAGATCATAATTTTCTGACAACTTTAATTGTAAACTTGCCAAGATTGCGACGATTTAGAATGTTCAAAAGCGTTAGATATTAACCATAAGCTTTGCAAATCTGAAAGAAACACCATTGGCACACAGAAAATTAAGAAGACCTTTCAGAATCCCCCGATTCCAATCAAGACGGATGGAAAATCCGTCTTAATCGAAATAGGGAATAGGCATGATTAAAATTAGAATAGAGTAGGTCTACTATTAAAACACACAGAATCAGTATAGAACAAAATGTACGCTGTATGGCATAGCGCAATTTGGTTTGAAATCATTCAGCTAAGTCCATTCACTTCCGGTGATAGCCAACCATATACTACCCATAATCGTTTATCTTTGTTTGATGTCCTATTCATATGGGACTGTTCTGACAATTATTTGTCTTAATGAATTATGTTCATGAAGTATTTATAGCCGTCAAGAAATTCTTCTACTAAGAACGGTGGAACGCGGGTAGGCCCATCCCTCCAATACTGCCGGTTGCGAGCTACAAAATGCACGAAGTTTGTTCTAGCTCATCACTCTTTCAGCAGGATGTCTACTTGGAAAACCTGAAATCTTCAGGCAATTTTTTTCCCTGAAAAAACCAGGAATTCTCAGCCAGAGAACCTTCGCAGAAATTTTAAAATATTTCATAATATAAACAACATTATCTCCTTGCTAGTTACACTTACTCTTTGAACGAAATAATTTGATAGGATTTTCCAAGTATCTATTGGAATAAGTTCAAGGGAATACAGAGGAAAATATCATTGGATGATTTTTTTATAGGAAAGTGAAATTTAATGATTCCTTTCAAACGAGTTCTGATGAATTCCAAACTCTAGGTGAAACGTAAGGAGAATACAAAGGTAGTTCTGAGTAAAATTCCAAGGGAATCCTGAGTAGGATTCAAAGTCAATTTACAAGAGAACTCTGTGGAGCATTCCAAAGCAATTCCAATTATAATTCAAATAGAGTTCTGACTAAAACCGCAAAGTCATTTTGAATTGACTTCTTTTTTAATAGATTTGTAAGGAGAACTGAAAGTGAATTCTAAGGAGAGCTGCAAGGTACTTGTAAGTAGAATACCAAGAGAAGAAGGAGAATCCAATGGGAATTCTGAAAATTATTCAATCAACATTCTGAGGATGATTCGAAAGTACTTTGAGGAAGATTTGAGGAAAATTTCAAGGAAATTTTCAACGAAGCTTCGAGTTGAATTTCAAAGACTATGGACAATTTCAAGGTTGTTCATGTATTGATGTTTAGAGAACGCCAAGAAGGGATCCTAGGAAATTCTGAGGACCATTTAAAGGAATTCACATTTTTTAAATGTTTCTTTTCAGTAGAGCTGCCGAAGTAGCTTAGTGGAATCGGTTACGGCTATAACGATGTTAGCAGCTTGAGCCTTACGTGTTCTTACTTCCCGGGTTTCAATCCCATTCAGGCAACAGCGGTCTACGTATGAAGGCAATTTAGCTGTATAACGCCACGGTATATAACGGAACACGTGACGACCAAACTTCCATGGTAAACTTTCATACCTAGTTCCAATCCAGCGCTTGCATGCAGCTTTCGTTTCCGGTCCTTCGTAGTGTGTGGCCAAGTCACAGCCGTTTTAGAATTTGTGTTGATATCGGACTCTGACTACATCAACGATGAAGCTCGGTGTTCGAGCTCCAGTTATGTAGCCACTAGACACAAATTATATACCGCAGGCATCGGTTATTGAAAACTTGCACAATTTGAGTGTTAACATGGTTTTATAACACTAGCACCAATTTAACACTTGCCAGAGTTCAAGTAGCCCGAATGCGGCTAGCCCAAACTTAATAATTTTAGGAGATTTTTCCTTCTTTAGAACAAGAGCAGTTCTTCTGGCTTTAAGAGATGAACTACGACTAAAAATCTACATAATAAAGTATTAATAATAGTAGTTCTTTCGGCTTGTACTTTACCGAGGATAAAGATCTAATTTTGAAAATTTTAGATTTAAAAATTGACTCAACTATAGGAAAAAATTAGCGAGTTCTTGCATTTCAAAGTTTGATGAGAAATCAGAATCTAATAGTTTAAAGAGGATTTTTCCTTCTTTTAAACATGGGCAGTCCTTTCGAGAACTTGGTCATATTTCTGGGTTCTAGTTCCAGAAAAAGCCAAGGTCGAAGGAAAGGATCGGGTATCGAAGGCGTTATTGATGAGCTGTTTGTCCGATGAATACCTGGAGATTGTACGGGAAAAAGGTACCACGAAAGAGAGGTGGATGAGCCTGCAAGCAACTTTTGCTAAGAAATCTGTGGTGGACCAGAAGATTATTCAGTAGCAGTTGGCACGATTGCGGGTGACGGAAGGTAAGGACATGAGAAGTAACTTGCTGGAATTCAATGAATTGGTGCGTAAGTTGAGGACTGCTGGAACAACGTTGGCGTGCCCTTTATGACAGCCTTAGAGCCTCCCTTAGCTCAGTCGGTAAAGGCCCAGCTATATAGCGAAAAATGTCTCGACTGTATGATTGTACTTGTGGTACAGGCTTAGAAAGCTCTCAATTAACAATTGCAGAAGTGCTCAAAGAACACTAAGTTGAGGGCGGGCGCAAGCCAAAAGAATAAGAAGATGGCAGACTTAGAGAACGTATCAATAGAAGAGCTGACTATAGACCTGATGGAGCAACATTTGCTAGGTGAAGAGTCACAAATGTGGAAAACATGAGCATATGATGAAGGATTTTTTTTTTTGCTTTATTAGAGAGACTTTCAGCCTTTAGCTGGTTCGTCTCTTATCAAGAAGGATTGTAACGAGCAAACCCGTGAAGATGTTGAGGATGATGTTGAAACGAGAAAGTCAGTGAGTTTCAAGGCGTTGTTGACATTGATACACGGTGAGACCCACCGCAATGAGAGTTCAGCTAGGCCATCGAGCTTACTGTGCATATCAGAGCACCGATGCTAATAGAGCAATATCATCAGCCAAATCAAAGTCGTTGAGATACTCCATGATGATAGGCTTCCAGAGCAGCCCACGATTCTTTATACAGCCAATTGCACCTAGCATGATCTCATCGATTGCGATGAGGAACAGTAGTGGTGATAGAATACATCCTTGTCTCACACCCGCGGTTACCCGGGTAGGGTTGAACAAGGCTCCCTATGCAGATCTCTTTACGTGAAATCCTCGTACTACGCTCCGATGAGGTTCTTAGTTTGACGATTTTATCTGAGTTGGGGTCAGCTTTGAGCATCTCTCAAGCAACGTTTCAGCTGGTCAGTAGAGCCGGAAAACAACTGAACAGTCGCTTCCTTCACAGAAATCCTTGGGTTCAGCCTTGATCCGCTCAGGCGTTGTTAGATATCGTTCTTCTTTCTGGTGTTCTTGAAGTACTTCCACAATTCCGAAAGATTTCCTCAACCTGACCGGGAATCGAACCCTGCCGGCTTGCTAATACCGTGTATTTGCTGACTAGTGTCTATGAGGCCCCTGAGATATCGTAGAGGAGTCGTAAATCGCCAGCTGTTGAGGCTTTCTCCCCCTTTGTCAGTCAGGCCAGGTTTCATCGATGCATGATCCACTCTTTCCTCTGAGTGCGCAGCTCACTTAGGTTGTTCTCACTTGTTTTGATTAAGGCATTCTTAATGACTGTCCACTGCTCTTTGGCACCGCCACCTTCCAGAACATCCGTTGCTCGGGCCTCAAGTTCTTCAGCGTTTATTCAGGACATCAAAAGCTCCGTCTCCATTGTGGTCGATTTGATTTTCGGTATGTCTGTCAAGGGATAATTACGATCACCATCCCAAGCAGCACATTTCCGTCACTAAAAGCTGCAGCAACTTGATTGTGACCGAAATAAGTTGCATAGGAGTTGCTTCAACGGTTTTGCGACAAGTGTGCTACTAGGAATGTTGTTAGTGCCACAAAACTCTACCAACAGCTCACCGTTCCGTTGTGAGAGTCGATCTTTGCATTGAAGCCGCCAGTGTCGCAACCAATTTAACCAATAAGCCAGCTACTTTGTCTATAAGCTGCATATGACTTAAATGCTAATATGGAGGATATAAACGTTATATTAGTCGTTTATCAACCAATCAAAAGGCCAAGAAGTGTGCTTTTGGCCATCAAGTTCCTTAAGTAGTTTTTTATCGGCTACGTACTAAAAAGTGTAAAAATCCTCTCTAAACATGCAAGTTTATCGATCTAAGATAGCAATTTCTCCAAATAGCTGTTTTGTTCTGAATTCCTGTCTTCTGCAATGTTTGCATCAAACAGCGCTGTGCCATACGTACTGGAACAAAAAAAAACTAAAAAACGCTCACACACATGTTTTGGCATAAATTATACACGACAGAAAACCATACTTTTCTTACACTTCATCGCGGATGATTTAATTTCAACTCGGAACATAAACCTTAAAAAGACGATCTGATCGTCACAAAAAAGATACCCCTGATTAAATTTACATCCTAACTAACTTACGTCATTTATGATTAGCCTTATCCAGTGTCGAGTTTTTTTTTATCAATTTATAATTATCATGATTACTATTATTTTATTAGTTAGCGGTAAACGATTGTGAAAGAAGCTCTCATTTTTTTATAATAAATTCATAACTAATATAATGATTATTGGAATAAAAATAAAACAAAAATGCAAAAAAAAAACAAAAAATGAAAAATCCCAAAAAATTTGAATGTAAACATTATAGACATTATTGCTAATCGTTTTGCTTGTCCCATTGCTGTTTCATGAGAGGGTAAAATTGTCCGACTTCAGCGGCCGGCTGTTACGCTTCATGGCACAGTATCGAGATGGGCAAAAATGGTGATTATACGTAGACTTTAACATGTATTAATATTTATATTGTGACAGAAAACAAAACAAACAAAAAGCAAAAAAAAAATATAAAATCAAAAAACCGAAAAAACTATTATTGATGAACCTTAGCGATTAATGTATAACTGTATATGTATAAAATAAATCTAAAAACAATATTACACGAAAACTGAAAGAAAAAAAAGAATAGAAGCAAAGCATATATTTAAAAGAAGAACCCTACATGAAAAAAATATTAATGTACTTTTTACTAGAACAATAGTGAAAGAAAAACACAATTGAAAAGAAGGCACATGAATCGACATAACGGTATCTATCAAAGTAGTACAGAATACCTTGTAAAAAACAAACCCGGATTCAGATACTAAAAAAAACTAGACCTAATCAATTTAAATTTGAAAACCCCACTTTCGGAACCATTTTTCCCTCTGGGTTATTAAGCGTAAATGTGATGTTACTTCAAACGATCTCTATCTATTCGATTAGAGCAACAACCTGAAACAAAATATTGAGTGTTGCAATAGATGGCGCTAATGAAAAAAAAAAACGAGATGTAGTTTGCAGGATATAGAAAAATAATGATTTTTATGAAAGTTTTTTTTTCTATGGTGTTTATTTGGGAGGTTAAATTGTTTCTATGAGCTAAACGGAGCCGAGGGACTATTTTTTGCTGTAAATTGAGGGGGATTGAGATCTTTATTCTTCTTTTCTTTTTCTGCATCACTCCGTATTGCGCCACATCAGCCCAATGTTTCTGCCGTGGTTGGCACTAGGTCAGGTTCGGCTTCGCTTCGGTCTCCGGCGTTCGTTTTCAGCACGTCTTCATGCAGCACCTCTATACCTTTTTATGTTTCCTAGCTGTTGCGGTCCAACTATGCACCTCCAGCGTACGTACTGCTATCCAAGGAGCTGCCATCGCTCTATCCTTTGTCCTAACCTTGCTTTTTATCGTCCTGTTTTTTCTGTTGTTTTTCAAGCTGCCGCTGCTGCTTTCAGGTCTTCCGCTTGGGGCAGTATTTCATCCGGTGCCCCTCCACCTTACATAGGAAGCATTTATCTTTATATTCTCAGCATAAAATATAACTTCTTTTCGATTGAGGAGATTAAACGACAAAGGAATCTCCTTTTCCACATCCGTGTATAGCACCTCGCACGCATGTGTGCATGTCGATGCCTAACTTAGCAGGGAATTTCTCCCGGATGACACGTTTCACTTTTCCGAATTTTGATGAGATGGAAGTAAATGGGATCGAAAAAAAACGTTGTGCTCAGATAACGAAGCTATTCCAGATGATATAGAGTAACCGATATATTTTTTCAAAATTATAGAACCCAATTTGTCCGGGTAATAGTCCAAAATGCAATCATGGGGTAAAATGGGCCGCAAGGCTATACATCAGTTTCTCATTCCTAATTATGGGACCAGGCTTGATGGAGCCTCGCTCGCGAGTTTGAAATGAGCCGAGCGTAGCATTTTTCTGAGGAGTAGAATGCCTTCTGGCAAATAATTTCACTGAGCTTGTGAGCGAAGGGGGATAAAATGAAAGTGAGATTTGCTGCCATTCATGTTCATGTTTTCAATCACACGCTCTTACTCTCACTCTGGGTGAACTCTAAACTTCTTGCGTCGAACAAAAAAGTCATCCGGTGTCTCGAAAAGCGCACCTCACGTCAAATCATCCTCTCGCTGAAGTTCACTCTCCCTCTCTCTCAAGGAGTTTCTGTTTATTTCTTCCATATTCCTGCCGCCACTCACTCGAGGTGAGGGCTGGCTAAACTCGCAGTATGGTCAATGTGACCAATTATCCATTCCAAGTCTATAGGAATCCTATTCATGAAAATCCATAGAGTATTCAGGCAAAATATGCTTCTTCAACTAAAAAATATTTTATTCAGACTTTGATCCGCACAAATTGTTTGTTGGGAGGTTTCCAGTCCGGAAAAAATATGGCTTATGGAAAAAAATAAAAATTACGAAGTTACGACACTCCAAAGATGACTAAAAATGTCCCTATGCTAGTTATTTTGGCTATCCCCTGTACTTACTTGTAGATAGCTGATTCAAATATTATTCATCGTGGTCAGTGCTGTAAATTCTCAAAATCTATGTATGTTTTCCTTTGTTCGGGACATAAATCCACTGCGACCTGTTATTTGATCTATTGCGGTATATCTCTCGGTCTTTAGTTCAGTGCATGTCGTATTACTTCATCACTATTGAGAAATGATGAAGTATTCGTTTTTGATACAGTTGTCATTCTTGCATTTATAGCAAGGAATCGATTCTTCGATCGCGCTCTTTATACCCTTCGGAACACCCTTCAAAGGTGCGCCCTTTTGTCAGTCAAAAACGGATGCCTTAGCAACAAAATCAAGCAAGAACATCGATAATGTCCATGCATCATCCTAGTCTTAACCACTTCAAACTAGGAAACAACGAATAGAAGATTACGGATCACATAGATGAAGACTAACTAACTCATTTTTTCCTTGTTTCAAGATCATCCTTGTTGTCACTACCAACAAGGCATAAAAAGTAAGTCCTGTTCCCCTAGTTTGAAGTGGACTCGACTTCGGTGGTAGATCTTAATGCCAGTAACGAACCACGAAAAGGTAATCTACCAGGCGTCATAAGGGTTAATGTTCTTCAAACTGTACAGGCTTTATAGACAAGTGTCTTACAGAGGTATTTTACGACAAGTTCAGTAGACCTGTCGAGAGGTAAAAGGGACTTACCTTGATATCTTGCGGCACGAGAGAACTAATGAAGCCAGTTGGTTTGGAGCAAGTTCAGAGGTCTAAACAAGACAACATGATTTATAAAATCATTAACCAAGATGAATCGTAACTTTTTACCTACCCTCATCCATGATGCTCGAGGAAGTTCATAGGAGTTCTCAGCTTACAATAGAGCGGGTATCACGCCAACAATTTTCTTCACTCTCCCCTAATTGACCTGCATTTGGACGTGGCGGCGCTGGTATGTCAAAGAAATACATGAGATCACCAAAATTGGCGCATTGATGATAAAATGCACATCCTAGGCACCTTCTATTGGATCTTTTTGTAATTACAGCTGACCTTTGCAATTACTTAGTAACAACCAATCATACTCATGCGATGTGAGACATACGAAGTTAGGGCTCCTCATTTCGGTAATGTCTCTGTCCACTTTGTCAGTAATTTTTAAGAAGGAACAGTGGGTTGAATTTTGTTGCGAACCTAATATAAAATTATTCTGAGGTTTTATCTTAACTATGCTGACTATGTCTGACTATCTTGAAAAACCTGTCATTCTCAGGAAATTTTATCATTCCTGGAAATCTCATTTCCAATGACATTGAAGGAACTATGAAAACTCCTCAAAATTAATGATTTTAAAAGTTTGCTGCATGATATGCATTTGCTTAAAATTGTTCTAAAGAACAAATTTCACAGAGCTTTCATTTGTTTCTAGTAATGTCCTGTATTTGTACAGAACTTCTGAAAATATAAATACAAACTAAACTAAAAATGCGTTGGTAATAAATAAAGAAGGTATTCAAAGCTAGTCTAATCAATGGCATGCTGATACACATAACACATTTTTCAAAGATGATTAAAGCTTCACAAATTACTCGGCAAGGTTATAATTTTATTTCTTGCTGCTCTTGACGCTTTTGATTTTGATCGGGTAACGAAACTTTGTACCGACTGACAAAATCGGAAAATCCATTATCTGTGGAAACGGTGCCAAATTGAAGTTTAACAGTGTGTCAACTGAGTGTCTAATGCTAATTACTATAACTTGAAATAATCCCGGATTTTTGTTTTGTTTAGTTGACTGCAAGCTTGAGCAATCCTTAAGGAGTTTGATTAGCGGTCTGAACATAATATTCAAAGAGATTTAGTGTTTTATACTTGTGACCTGTGACCATTTGAAGGTGGAATGCGATTGCGCTTTGTACGTATGAAATCCAGGGGGAAAACTTTCGATGTTCTGTTTATTAAACTATTCAACGTGTTTAACACTTCATGTCACTTATTGTTTCAACATTTGGTTCAACTGAAATTTACCTATCATAAATCTCGTGCTCTACTATTAATGGCTTTTAAGAGATGACAAGGATACTTAGTAAATTTCAGGTCAGTATACTTTGGTGATAAGATCGTTTACTTCAGACTGTATCAGTATACGTTGTTTTTCTTTCACGCAGTTCAGAATTTAAAATGAGATCATTCAGATAATTTACGCCTTATTAGTAGCATAGCCGCGGCGTGAAGTGGAACAAGATCAAACCAAAATCAATAGGTACTTCTGCAGCCGTTAATCATGGTGTTGGTGTTGTGACGTAAAAATTGTAATGCAAAAAGAAACAACAAGCTATATCACTTCAACTGATTTAATGCATTAATTATCAAATCACCATAAAATTCCAGAAGACTGGCTATTCTGCCAAACGGACAAAAAAACAGTAGCACTTCGTTTGAGCAAAGGTATAACCGTCGCATAGAAAATTGGAACTCTCTTTCGAGGTTGACAGTCTTCTTGATATGTTGTCTTTGATAAAATTGAAACACGTTGTTCGGTTATTCAAACATAGGCAGTATTAAACAACAAGGATAAGATCGCGAGATGTTACATAACTTCGGAAACATCAGTTCCTTTCTTTTTTGGATCGATTTCTAACTCATATTTAGCATACTTTCTATTTAAGCATGGTCCTTAAAACTTCTACACTCATTCGAGAGCACCTAGATATTTAAAAAAAAGTAATGATTTGAAAGGTTCAATTTTAGATAACTCTTATTCTCAAGTAACCAGTGCATCAAAACTTAATTTGATAATGTCGGCGTAGAGCGGTTCTTCTATATATGGCCCTTGTTTAATACAAAATTGGGTTAGGTCTCTACATAAAAAAGTGCCGAAATTGGAGTAGTTAGCAGATAAAATTAATACTAATGCCTCACAAGCAACCGTGTCTTGAGTATTGAGCAGCAAAGTATACTTATGAAAATAACAACACCGCATGTTGAAACATACAAAATGATCAAACAAAAATGCACCTAGCAATTCTCGCGATCTTGTCTTTCA